CAAGTTTTCTGAAAAAGCAATCATTTTGCCTCCAATATGGTGCAGTAACATAGTAAGGACTCTGAGCGCCGCTGTTCACCAACCAGGAGAAAGATCCGCCGGAACTACCGAGCTTTTACAGCACAAAGAAACGCCAGATTGAGACAAACTCTTTTCCAAGAGACATCAAACTCAGACCCATATTCTACTGGATTTGGGGCTCCTTTTCCGAATACAGAGCGTTCCAGGAAACATCCGGAAACACAACAGGAGGTAGCCCAGGGTCTAATGATCTGCAGGACAATGGCGGCTCCGGAGAGGGTCCGGGATTACAGAGGATTCATCCTGCTCTCCATCCTCCTGGGAACCCGGAGCGAAGCTTGGGCAGGACACATTCTCTATTCCGTGCCGGAGGAGACAGACAAAGGGTCTTTTGTGGGTAATATCGCCAAGAATCTGGGGCTGGAGGCCCAGGAGCTGGCGGAGCGCGGAGTTCGCATCGTTTCCAGAGGTAGGACGCAGCTTTTTGCTCTGAATAAGAGAACTGGCAGCTTGGTCACGGCGGGCAGGATAGACCGGGAGGAGCTCTGCGCTCAGAGCGCGCGGTGTCTGGTGAGTTTTAACATCCTGATAGAAGATAAAATGAATCTTTATCCTATAGAAGTGGAAATAATGGATGTTAATGACAATGCTCCTAGGTTCTTGTCGGAAGAAATGAATGTAAAAATAATGGAGAATACAGCTCCTGGGGTGCGGTTTCCGTTAAAAGAGGCTAGGGATCCGGATGTGGGCACGAACTCCCTCCAGAGCTACCAGCTCAGCCCCAATCGCCACTTCTCCCTGCTTGTGCAAACTGGAGAGGATGGAACTAAATATCCGGAGTTAGTGCTGGAGCGGGTGCTGGACCGGGAGGAAGAGGCGATTCACCACCTCCTCCTCACAGCCTCTGACGGTGGTGACCCACCCTTATCTGGCACCGCCCGAATCCAAGTGGCAGTGTTGGATGTGAATGATCATGTGCCAGTCTTCTCTTTGCCCCAGTATCAAGTCACTGTCCCTGAGAATGTGCCGGTGGGCACAAGACTGCTCACAGTAAATGCTATCGACCTCGATGAGGGAGTCAATGGGGAAGTGACATACTCTTTTTGGAAAATAACTCCAAAAATTCTGCAGATATTCCAACTGAACTCCCACACAGGAGAATTGTCAACTTTAGAAGGCCTAGATTATGAAGAATCCAGCTACTATGAAATGGAAGTTCAGGCTCAGGATGGTGCTGATAGTATGACAAGGGCTAAAGTACGGGTCACCATTTTAGATGTGAATGACAACGCCCCAGAAGTGACTATAACATCTGTAAGCAGCTCAATCCCTGAAGATACTCCCCCTGGAACAGTAATTGCTCTTTTCTACTTTCAAGACCGAGATTCTGGGAAGAATGGTGAGGTGACCTGCACTATTTCAGAAAATCTACCTTTCAAGTTAGAAAGATCAATAGACAATTATTATAGATTGGTGACAGCAAAAAACCTAGACCGAGAAATACTCTCTGTGTACAACATCACACTGAAAACCACAGATGGTGGAACCCCGCCCTTGTCCACAGAAACTCACATCTCCATAAAGGTGTCAGACACCAATGACAACCCACCTTCCTTTCCCCACTCCGCCTACTCTGTCTATGTCCCTGAGAACAACCCCAGAGGTGCTTCCATCTTCACTGTGACTGCACACGACCCTGACAGTGACGAGAATGCCAGAGTCACTTACTCCCTGGATGAAGACACCATCCAGGGTGTGCCTCTATCCTCCTATGTCTCCATCAACTCTGACACTGGTGTCCTGTATGCATTGCACTCCTTCGACTATGAGCAGTTCCGTGACTTGCAATTGAGAGTGACTGCACATGACAGCGGGGACCCACCGCTCAGCAGCAACGTGTCCCTGAGTCTGTTTGTGCTGGACCAGAATGACAATGCACCCGAAATACTGTACCCTGCCATCCCCACCGACGGTTCCACTGGTGTGGAGCTGGCACCCCGATCTGCAGAACCCGGATACCTGGTGACCAAGGTGGTGGCAGTGGACAGAGACTCAGGCCAGAACGCCTGGCTGTCCTACCGCCTGCTCAAAGCCAGCGAGCCAGGACTCTTCGTGGTGGGGCTGCACACGGGCGAGGTGCGCACTGCGCGGGCCCTGTTGGACAGAGATGCGCTCAAGCAGAGCCTGGTGGTGGCAGTTCAGGACCATGGCCAGCTCCCTCTCTCGGCCACTGTCACGCTCACGGTGGCTGTGGCTGACAGCATCCCAGATGTTCTGGCTGACCTGGGCAGCCTGGAGGTCCCTCACGACTCTGAAGCCTCAGGCCTCACTCTGTACCTGGTGGTGGCAGTGGCTGTGGTCTCCTGCGTCTTTCTCGCCTTTGTTATCATCCTGCTGGCACTCAGGCTAAGGCGCTGGTCCACATCGCGCATGCTCCAAGCTTCAGGAGGCGGGTTCGCTGGGGTGCCAGCTTCACACTTTGTGGGTGTGGACGGGGTGCACGCATTCCTGCAGACCTATTCCCAGGAAGTCTCCCTCACCGCGGACTCAGGAAAGAGTCACCTGATCTTCCCCCAGCCCAACTATGCAGACACGCTCATCAGTGATGACAGCTGTGAGAAAAAAGATCCCTTTTTAGCACCCATAGATTTTCATGAATGTAAGGATGAAGCTCAAAGTATTCAGGTGAGTACAATCATTCATTTAGCTTTATATTCTTGAGGAATTATACTTTGTGTAAATATCTTTATTGCTTTGTGAAGGCAGTATTTTGAAGATGTGGTAAAAAAAAAACTTTAAAAAGTTAAAGCATGTTAAATGGTTTATTCCAGTGGTGATATTTTAACATGGAACACTTATTAACATAAGATTTGGTATCATTTCTATGGGGGATGCCTATGGATGAGATTATGAATAAGTGGACTATCACATTTGTATACCTTCCACCTATTTTCCATTTGATGTTCTTAATCCATGTAGTTTATCAATGAGAATGAAGGGACTGCTCAGGATTCTCTTTAGGTCAGATGTACAAAAGGCTCTTGCAGATTGTTTCAGTCTGAATTTTTTTTCTGTGTCTGGCTTCTGCCTCCATGTACCTCAACTTGATGACCTTGAAAAATCTCACTTGCTTCCTGACCTACTTAAAGCATATGGATCTATTAAAGTTGGGTCCTGATGGAAGGTTGGGAAAATGCCTGAAGAAAAAAAAATGTGCGTTTCAAGCTTCACTATATCAATGTGTGTTTCAATCATTTTATATCAATGATAAGCATGGAGTCTAATGCCACACTGAAGGTCGTTGTTCAAAAACAATAAAATATGATGTCAAATAAAATGTCTTTTCAAGTATTGTAAGTGGCATTTGTGAAATAGGCAGTTACATGTTTCACCACAAAATTCCTTTGTGCAGTTTTAGTGGTACAGCCATGTGAAGTGTGACTGTGGGCTCTCCAAGTAGGATACTGGGGATGCTGGCTTTATGAAACAACCATCTCACATACTCAAGTCCTAGACCAGTAGTTGGACTTTACTTATTGGGTCTGCTCAAAAATTCAGTCAGAAATAATGTAATCTGGGACTAACTACTTTTATAGTCTAAGTTAGTGGCTTTCAACCTTTTTCATTTCATGGCACACATAACTAGTTACTAAAATTATGTGGCACACTGAAAAATATATTTTTTGCTGATCTGACAAAATATAGGTATAATTTTGATTCATTTGCACTGGCTGCCTATAGTAGTATTGGCTGTTGTCATTTTTTATTTGACAATCCAAGGGAAAAGAGGTCAGTTCCCCTGACTAAATAATCAGGTGTTGCATGTTTTAAAAATTCTGAGGCACACCAGTGTGCCTACCTGAGCACACTGGTTGAAAATTGCTGCTCTAAGTATAAAATTTCAGTACAGTTCAATACATCAACTGATTAGCATCTGGAAGGGGTTGATGACAAGGTAATCTTGTTTGCGGCAACCTTTTGAGTGTTAATTTAAACAGTTTTTCTAGCAGAGTGTTGTGTTTGCTGATATTTTCCATATAAAGAAAATGTGTAATATTGTGAGTATATTTTGCAGTGTTCAGATGTACAGTCACTTGTGGAACAGTCAATGTTACTAACATTCTGTGAGGCAGAAATATGGTTATCAGGCATATTGGAAAAGAAAATTACCCTATCCAATTTATTAGATGCTTAACATTTTTTAAACAAAGGGGAGAAATTGTCACTAAACTCATGAGCTACTGCAGATAAACTTTCTAGGAACTATCTTTATTTGAAGTCATCATGGGATGTTATATAAGTACAGAAGTGAGAACTATGACTCAGGGTAATAACCATAGTTAGTCACTTTGTGTTGCAAGGTAAAATATTATTCCCCTGATAACTTTGAGGAGTGATGTTACATTTCATAACTAAGAAAATAATTGTGTAATGGGAACGAGAGGGATAGGCTAACTCCTTTCTGGCTACATTATGTCATTGACTGAGATACTAGAATTTAAAATCAGGTAATATTACTATAAATAAATCACGGAAACAATTTTGGAAGAAGAGAAGTATTTGGAGGTAAGTATAAATTGTGCCCTTTTAAAGAAAATTACTGATGCTCTCTGGAAAAAAATTGAAGGGAATGAACATGGAGGTACCCAAAATGTAAAAACAAGGAAAAAAGAAACAAAGGAAGAAACATAGAACTTTATCCAATGTATTGCTAACTAATAAGTATTCAAAATTACTGTACTCCGAGATCGTTTGACCAAGTCTGTTATAGTCATCTTTCTATTACTAGTGTGGATTTGAAGATTGGGGAATAATTATGTTAACAAACAGAGTTTATGTATTCAATCTATGTGATTTCCTTAAAACTTTGAAATGGGATAATGATACAAATTAAACATTAATAAATACATAGACATAAAAATTGTCCAGTCCAGCGCACGATTATACTTACTATAGCTCCTTAGCCTGAAGCAGCAGAGGCTGCAGTTTCATAGTACGGACTCTGGGCGCCGCTGTTGGCCAGAGTGGAGAGCTGGGCGCTGGTGATCGCCTCGCGCAGCCGCAGCTCGCTTTCCTCGGCTCACTCGCTAGAGCTGGCCTTTCCACTGCTCCCTCCTCTGGGAAAGAAGAAACCCTGACCCCCACGCAGGAACTAAAGGCTGTTCGGGGCTCTGGACATCCGCGACAGAGAGATTACTGGTCATCCGGCGTCTTCAGGCCGGTGAGCACGCTGAGGGGAGCAAGAGGGATGGGGAGCGGCGCTGGGGACTGGGGCTGGGCTGAGCGGCGGCCAGTGCTCTTTCCCTTCCTGCTGTCTTTGTTCTGCCCTGCGCTCTCTGAGCCGCTCCGCTACCGGATTCCCGAGGAAATGCCCGAGGGCTCGGTGGTGGGGAACCTCGCCAAGGACCTGGGACTCAGTGTCCGCGAGTTACCGACTCGAAAACTGCGCGTCAGCTCTGAGAAGCCTTACTTCACTGTGAGCGCAGAGCGCGGGGACTTACTTGTGAGCGGCAGGCTGGACCGGGAGCAGATATGCGGGAAGAAGCCAGTATGTGCTCTGGAATTTGAGGCTGTTGCTGAAAAGCCATTGAACTTTTACCACGTGAACGTGGAGATCGAGGATATTAATGACCACCCTCCCAAATTCATGCAAAACTCCTTTGAGCTGCAAATAAGTGAGTCCACAAAGCCCGAGGCACGATTTATCTTAGGATCTGCCCATGATGCAGATATTGGTACCAACTCATTACAGAATTATCAACTCAGTCCCAATGATCATTTCTTACTCGTGAATAAGGAGAAATTAGATGGTAGCAAATACCCCGAGCTAGTATTGAAGATGCCTTTAGATCGGGAGGAGCAGAAGTCCTACCACTTGACCTTGACTGCCTTGGACGGCGGGGATCCACCCCTAAGCAGCACTGTTCAGATACAAGTCCTCGTGACTGATGCCAATGATAACCCTCCAGTGTTCAGCCAAGAGTTATACAGGGTGGGCCTTCCGGAGAACGTGTTCCCAGGCACCACTGTGCTTAGAGTGATGGCCACCGACCAGGATGAGGGCGTCAATGCCGAGATCACCTTCTCTTTCACTGAAGCAGGCCAGACCACCCAGTTTGACCTGAATTCTACTACTGGGGAAATTACTACTCGAAATACACTAGATTTTGAGGAAGTCAAAGAATATTCCATAGTTTTGGAAGCAAGGGATGGTGGAGGAATGATTGCCCAATGTACCGTGGAGATACAAGTCCTAGACGTAAATGATAATATCCCAGAAGTGATATTTCAATCTCTCACAGATGTTATTATGGAGGACACCAGGCTAGGAACATACATTGCTTTACTTAAAGTCCGTGACAAGGATTCGGGAGACAATGGAGAAGTTACTTGTAAATTAGAAGGTGAGGTTCCGTTTAAATTGCTAACTTATTCGAAAAACACGTATAAATTAGTGACAGACGGAGTTCTAGACCGTGAGCAGACCCCAGAGTACAATGTCACCATCACAGCCACCGACAGGGGCAAGCCGCCCCTCTCCTCCAGCACCACCATCACCCTGCACGTCACAGACGTCAACGACAACGCCCCGGTTTTCCAGCAGTCAGCCTACCTGGTCCACGTGCCAGAAAACAACCCGCCCGGGGCCTCCATCGCGCAGGTCAGCGCCTCCGACCCCGACCTGGGACCCAACGGCCAGGTGTCCTACTCCATCGTGGCCAGCGACCTGGAGGCACGGGCGCTGTCGTCCTACGTGTCCGTGAGCGCGCACAGCGGGGTGGTGTTCGCGCAGCGCGCCTTCGACCACGAGCAGCTGCGCGCCTTTGAGCTGACGCTGCAGGCCCG